AATGACAAGGACATGAGAAAGAGTTGCACCTAGGTCTACACCATGACGAAACATGCTTCCTCAAAAGAGGATCTCTGACATCGTTTTGCTGGCAAGAGAAAAAGAGTGGGGCAGCTGGGCGAGGATCTTGTTCGGGGAGGTCCACGATGGACCCATGCATCGGGCTTCTGTGGGCTTTGGCATTCGTTTTGTTTGCTTCTTTACTCGGACCCCCGCTGCACTCTGCGAGTTTCTGTGGTTTGGACGGAGCCTGCGGTGTGTGTTGTCGGAATCGCTGGCTTTTGTGGACTGGGCAGGTTGCCCCATCCGACGCCCTCAGGGCCGAGCACCTTGGCAGACTTGTGAGTGGAGAGGAGCTAGCAGATAGAGCCGGTGCGCAATCTTGAGAGGAACACCTTCGGTCGAAACTCCCGAAGCTCGGGGGGGCTTCCAAACTTCCCATGTCATGGCCTAGGATGCAGAGTTGTTGTTCCGCCTTCGCCCTCATGCCTCTGAGGTTGGATAAGATTGGGCTCAATCCCCCGGCCGATGGCAGGAGAGAGTGGCCGGGGCCCCAAGGTGGTGAGCGCAGTGAAGGCCCTGACCCGGAGCCGAGAGCACCCTGCAACTGGGGCCTTCCTTCTCTGTGAAAGGAAAAAAAAACTACAACCCACCAAACACGTCGCTTCTTTCTTCGGAGACATTCCTGCTGGCAAGGTTTGAAAAGAAGCTCGGCGCGTTCCTTGTCAGCACATGTGCCACCTTCTAGGGTGACAGCTTGAAGGGGTTTGCAAGCCACATGCCGAAGAAGGAGAAGACGCATACTCTCTGACTTTTTCGACCCCAATCTGGAGGGATGTTAGTAGCTTCAGACATGCAGCGACGCACTGTTCTCCTTCCCTCCGTTGCTCTGAAGGCTGCCGGACGAGAAGGACTCCTCTGGCCCAGGTGGCATGAACATCGAGCCGCCAAGCTCTTTTTTAGAGACCAGCCTCCCTTGTCAGAGCGGTCTCGCGGGAAGAGACCTCCGGTCCGAGGGAGCTCAAGAACATGATGGGCAAGGGCAAAGGCGGTGGCAAGGCTCGGCGCCGCTCTCGTGGGGCTTGCAGTTTATGATAGTGACGACGACGAGGAAGAGCAGCAGTAGGAGCAGCCGTCAATCCGGGAAGCTTTGGCCAAGCGGGGGTTTAGGGGGACATCGAGGGTAAGCCTGCCGATCGTCGCTGCGGCCCTCGGAGCTGAGCCTGTGACGCTGGGCTCTGCAAAACCCCACTTTAAAGACCCTTGCGCCTTCGACCTCCACGTTCTCTCTAAGAAGCTCCTCACCCAATGACATGAAAGCGGAGCTTCGCAACGCCAGGGCCAGAGCCAGGGTACAGGCGGATACGACTCCGCACCTTCCGCAGACGAGGAGGTGGAGACCCAGGAGGCCTCCCGGGGGTATCTGTGTGGGTTTGAAGCCTTCGCCCTACTGGCTCTTGGCCAAGCTCCCGAAGTTTTCACCAAAAATCTGTACCGACGATTTTTCCAGCCTCTCGCTTCGCACATGGCTTTTCAGCAGAAAAGCGATGCCACATGCAATGGGAGCTTTGCTGCCCGAGGACGGATACACCTGGAGCCAAAAAGGCGGGCGAGAGCATGCAGTCACTGAGGATTGCGAGAGGGACACGGAGAGGAGAGCGAGAGAGGGAGAGAGAGAGAGAAAGACGAGCTTCCCCCACCCACAGCCCTGACGAAAGAATGAAAGACAGCGGGACCCCGCTGCTTGCCCCAGGCTGAATTGATGGGGCTGAGTTTGGGTGCTGCGAGGGTCCGATAGAGCTCTCTGGTTTCAGTATCTTCTCGCTCATGGCACTTTTCGCCTGTAGCACCGAGATTTGATTTTCTTCATTCTAGCCCTGCCCAGGCGAAGAGGTTCAAATTGCCATCAAGTGGCTGGGCCGTATTTACTTGGACTGCGCTTGCACCAAGATGAGACGGGACTCTCACCTTGTCTGAAGAGGGAACGTTCTTCTCACGACAACTGAACTTTTTTCAAGCCCTCAAGTTGCAGTTGACCTCAAGCAGACGGCTACGGCTCAAGGTTTGCTAGGAAGCACTGTGGTGTGGCTTATCAGGCAGGCGTGGGCCAGTGGCACATTCGCGAGAAGCATCATTTCAAAACAACCTTGCTTTTCTAACAAGCGCGTTCCATCTGAACTGTTGTGGGTGGCTGAGGCTGCCGCAGGCCACCACGAAGAAGGAGGCGTGAGTCTAAGTACAGAGCGGAGATGGTGGGGTCCATGTAGCCCCGAAGGTCAAGGTCGTCTTCAAGCAGACAACCATTGCCGTCCTTGCCAGTGGTCACGCGGTGTTATTGACTGGAGGGGTGAGGCTGGTGAAGGAAGGAGAAGTCGATTTGGTCTTCTCTAAACGTTTGTTTATTAAACGGCTTGCTGCAGCAGAGAACCAGTCCTTCTTGCTTCAAGTTTGCAGCACGGTACTCGGGCCGAAAATGCACGAACAGCGCGAGACGGAGAGCAGTGGCCTGTGCACAGACTCTTGACCATCCTATGGTCCCATATCATGAGCAGCGACTAAAACAATGCAAAAGCTAATGATGGTACATTCCCAGTCTAGTGCCGATGTCGACACAGCACCGCAAAAACGCATCGCAACACCACAGGTAAGACGTTGCTGGATGGCACTCTGGGGGGCAAGGCGCATGTTGTCGCGAAGCTTCAGGGTTACACTTAGCCCTTCTCCTATCTTCTACAAAGAATCGCGAGAAATAGAACTTGTGGAGCACCCTTTGAGCTGCTGGTCTGCTGGATAGTAAGTTCAGGGGCGGCACCAATGACAAGCTGCTGAGAACTGGTCTATCCGATGAGCACCTATTCGGTCAGCTTGGGGGTTTGCCCATGCAGTGACAGTGCCATGTGGGCGCTACCTCTTATCAAAGGCATAACGCCGGAGCTTTCTCACCTGTGTGGCACTCCCACGTTTCGTGGTCAGCTGGTTCGTGGCCGTGCTTGCCCACCACGGTGGTATCCCCACGTTTCGCGATCCGCTTGTTTGTGGCTGTGCTTGCTGACCGAGCTCGTGTGCACGGTTCACGGTCAGTTTGTTCGTGGCACTGCTTGCTCACCACAGCGGCATCCCAACTCTTCGCCATCAGCTTTGTTCGTGGCAGCGCATTTTCACTGTGGTGGTGTCCCCATGGTTCGCCGTCAACTCTTAGTGACTCAGTGACCAGGTCTTAGTGTTGGCGCATTCTCACTGCGGTGGCATCCCCAGGGTTCACGGTCAACCTCTTAGTGACGACGCTTGGAAACGGAGGTGGCCTTGGTGGTTGTCCGACTGTTTGTGTTTAATTTCTGTGTCTGCCAGCTGGTCGCTGCTGCGGTATCTTCGCTTTTTGCGGTCCGTGGTGGCACTTTCCCCCAAGGTCGCATCACAGCTTGCAATCGGCTGCTTCATGGTGGACCTCGGCCATCGTGCGTGGTAATTTTCGTGTGGTTGTTTGTATTCGGATGTTGCTTTTTACTTTTGCTCTGTTGCTCCCCTACTGTGTGGGCTATGTACCAGAAGACCTTAAGATGCTTTGGCGCCTTCGGGCCCGAGGTGATGTCCTTTGTTAGGCCGGGCTGCTAGATTGCAACTCATCTCAGAACCATAAATTCTGAAGCTCTACATTTCTAAAACCCCGTCAGATTCTCTTTCAAGCCCATCGGTAGAACGGTTTTGCAAACCTTGGAGGCCCATCTAAAACCCCACAAAACCCGAAAGAGCACACTCGGAACGCTGCAGTGGCCTGTAGAAGCCTTCGGCCCACTAGCAAAAAAAACCCTTAGCAAGCACCTTCAAGTCCCTCAAAAAACCGGAGAGCCTTTTGACACCCCATGGAGCCATAGAGCCTATTACCAGACCCTTGTTGCTCTCGGCTTTTGAGACACACCCTGGTGTCCGCCGGCGTCATGGTCGATGCACCTAGGAGTCTAGGAGCCATCGTAGTGAGAATCGGGCTTGTGTGGCATTGAAAGCATACTTACAGATACCACAAGGGGTATTGTACTGTCTGCTCTTGACCTTGCAGGTGGAGACAGACGAGTGCACTTGGTGCCTGGTCAATGGCGGCACCGAGCTGAACGTAATGCTCACCAAGCAAAGCGACGCCTGGAAGCTCTAGAGTGCCAAGAGGAGTGGAGTGACAGCGATGAAGTTGGGTTTCAGCTTTGTGGTATCGGGAGCTGCGTGATTGTGTGAATATCAGTGCGCATCAGCCGAGGAGAAGGACAACTGGAAGGGCCTGCTGAAGTAGATGCTGAGGTTCCCAACCACTCAGCATTCCGCCAGGCGGCCTCTTCCCCGGGCAAAGCCCGTAAGTTTTCTGACGATGCAGTTCGAGCTCAGAGGGCTTGAAGTACCATGAAGCCGACGCCCGAAACAGCGTGGCCCTGACACTTCCCAACGACAACATGGACAGAGTCATAGTTGAAAGCAGCATTGCTTTTTTGCACACTAGCGCAGCGTAGTGACCCTTGGGCACTGGTGATTAAACCCTGCCTGTACCTGCGCATGTCGGACGCTGCCTGCTTTTGCTTTCTTTGTAGCGCTGGCCCTGCGCTGTGTTGACCGGGGCCAAGCTGAACAAATCGTCACCGTAGGCAGGTGCTTGATTCGTTCCTGAGAGCCGCTGAAATCATGGAGTGAGCAGCTGCAGGTTCTAAATCTTAAGGCTTGAAGCTCTTGTGTCTCCTGTGACTTCTGCGCTTTAGTCCGTGCTTGCTTGGTCATTGGTGCTACAAAAACCTGCCGCCTTTATTCACCCTTTGTATCCCACACCACCACCACAGGATTCGGGGATTTGAGGAGTTTTGTTTCAGCTCTTGAGTTTTGAGGCTACTGCCGTGCTGCTGGGCGTGAGCCATGGTCCACAGGTGAGTTTTCAAACCTGTGGCGGGAGTTGCACTTTAAACCCTTTGCTGCTTGCAGTAGTCACGGGCAGTGAAGGCTCAAGCCGCTCTTGACCCTGGGACGTCATGGGGCGAGGTAGATCTGACTCCCGCTCGCGCTCGGGAGGCCGCGAAGGTGATGCGGATCGTGCTTCGTTCTGCAAGAAAGGGCAGGTGTTCGTAGGGAAGTGGCCCGGGTGTCTTGTTCCAACAAGGCACGTTTTGAACAATGCACAGTGTGACCACATAAATTCCCCTAAGCCAACAGCACCCTCAAGCTCGCCTTCCCAAGCATCAACGACGATCCGTTCCCAGAATCACGGCCACGCTGAGGAATCCAAGGCATGGTCGACGAAAGGCAGGCGGCCCGGCGCGACCGCGATTTTGATAAGGCCGGAATCCGCTGTGGAAAGTCCAAAGATTGAAGATGCTGGAAGCGGGTTTGTGGATGCCTTCATTCCTGGACTTGTGCAGTGCAGAGCATGAGTCTCGGGCTATGCAGGCAGATCGCATGAGGGAGGAGCTCAAGGATATGGGTGTCAGCCGCTCACCTGTTCATGGGGAGCAGTTGGGAGCTGCGTTTTTGCAGGTTGTGGGAATGGGAACATGAGACTTGTGAGGATGAAGGGTCCGTGCAATGTCAAGGCAAGCACAGTGCAACAAGTGATGTGGGATTAGGTTGGAGTGCATCTGAAAAGAGTCCGAGGAATAGATGACACGCAGCTGACCTGGAATGCTCCTGGGGGCCTGAGGGGCGTCGTCAACAATCCAGGCCACCACCCTCCTAGTTAGGGTGTCACGTGAGCACCTATCCGCTTACTTTCCGGTGAACTTTGTATCCCAACCACGACTCCCCTTGCGTCAAGCCCTAGGCTCTCAATACAACAGTCGAATCGACTCCCCTGGAAGCCCACTGAAGGTGGCAAGGGACCCATCGAGCGGCGCGACGGCGACTGGACTTGTCCGAGTTGCGGTAAGCTGGTCTTTGCTGCCAAGGCCCGGGCCCCCCTGTAACTGCCTTTCTGCAAACTGCCGCAGTGCGTGTGTGGGGTTTGCTTTGGCTATGGAACGGAAAGAAGACTCGTTCGGTAAAGTCAGTAGTCACATCTGCGCAGCTGGTCTATCTGTCTTCATGGGGGTCCCGCCCGGCGCCGTCCCGGAGTGTTGCCGCAGTTCCGGATTTCCTGTCCACAGGACGTGTGCTTCTCCTGCGGGGAGCCGAGGTTCGGCGGGCCGAAGTCTTGTTTTCTGGGAGGGCAGCTTGGGAGTTTCTGGTTTGGTGTCTCGAGGTTCATTGGACATTCAGTCGCGTGATGAGACTGTCCGTGTTGGCACTGGGGGACCTGGGAACAAGGTCGGGGCAGGTGGTTCCCATTCTGCTGCTTTCTCTGGGTTCAATGCTTTGAGCCCGGCCCGGGAGCAAACACTTGCTGAGAATCATTGTAAGAGTACGTGTGACTGGCGCTTACATGAAGATTCGTAAGATGCCCCCGTTCTCGGAACCAAACTTTTCTTTCAATGTTTATCGTTTACTTGCAAGGGAGTACATTGGGATGTCTCATGCCATAGAAAGTTGACGTGAGCATGCGCATGTGTGTGTGTGTATGTATGTATGTATGTATGTATGTATGTATGTATGTATGCATGTACATATAGGCATCAACAGATGCAGATGTGGTGATGATTGCGCACGAGTATGTGTCGTGACCAACCCCTGAAGGCCAAGAGGAGGCCGCAGCCGCGATGGCGGCCGAGGAGGCCGTCGTCGCAGGCAGGTTCGGTTTTGCGTGATGGCATAAGAAGTCTCGGAAAATGTGCTCAGGAGAGTTGTTCCAGGTGTTGTGCTGCCCTTGCGAATTTGCTGCATGTCAGCATGTAGTTTGACCAAGCTTTCAAGAGCTTGGACCCCTTCCGACTAATGACTCTAATGACCCTAATCTCCAATTCACGATACATCCTTCAGGGATGACAGCCGAGACGGACGGCGCCGTCGCCGGGATGAGGGCCGCGGGCGTCGACGACGTCACTTGAATTCAGGTTTGGATCTACACGGCGTTCTTCTGTTCATCTCTCGCATCTAAGGCAGAGACTACGAGTCAGACTACGACGACTACTCTGAAGAGCCACGCAGATGATGCCTAGCCAGTGCTGACCACACCCAAGAGATCCCATTCCACTTTGGAAACGAGACACGCTTGGCAGCTCTGGAGTTGCAGGCTTCCGAACATGCCACTTCTCTGGTTTCCAGACAATCGCTTGTTCAGCGATTTGCCCCTGGTGTCCCGGGTTCCGGGGTTGGGTTTGGGTTTCAGGGGTTTCGGGAGTTTGGATGGTCCCCAGCACGGAGTCGCAAGAAAGGATGGTGTAGAGGTTAGGGATTTCAAGGCCTGGTCAGGGTTGCTTTCACCAGAGGCTGAGCTAGAAGTTTCTGGCTCGTAGGTTGAGGTTGTAGATGATTCAGCCTCTTGTTGCATGCCCCTGCCCAGAAGCCAATACCCGTGCCCAGAGACCAGTTTCGGCATTGACCCATTGAAATACAGCTTTTATTGTTGGGTCGCTGGGCACCCCTGCGTTCTGAACGGCTTGCAGCCGGCAGCTGTGCGTGAAGCCACCCCAGGATCAACTCGGACAGAGGAGGCCTAATCGGAGGTCCAGGAGAGTAACTCTAGCTGCCTGCATCCTTGCATCCTGCGGGTGGTTCTATCAATGGAGTAGAACATCAGAGCCGGCAGGGGAGCAAAAAAAGGATTCCAGATTTGGAATGCGCTACGGCCTATGGCTATAGATCAGGATGATCAAGTTCGAGTGGCCAATGCATCAAGGATGATCAAGGTCTAGTTCAGCGTCGTTAATTCCTTCTTGGGCATGGGACTCTACGTTTCCATTCTGGCCTAGTCACTGCATAATCCCGTATCAGTAGCTTATTCTCCGGAAGGGCAAATCAAGCGCTGCCACATCGCAAACGTTGACTGTGGCTCGACAGTTTAGCTTTTGCGAGCTGTGTGTGCGATTTCGTGTTCCGAAGTCTCATGCCGGTGACTTTCTGTATGCTTTCTGGCCCGAAGCTAGAAGATACCATGCACAGTCCACGCCAGACACTTCGTTCAGCAGCTTATGCCTCCGAAGCTTGGAGGTCAACCGTCCACGTCCACACGGCTGAAGTCGGAGCACACACGCCAGTTACAAACGATGTAAGAAGGACAGCAGCTTCCTCAACCCCACACGCCCTTCAGCCGGAAGGCTCCCTGCAATTTCCAACCTTAGTCGTGCCCATGCCATGACTCGAAAGGGCAAAGGCAAGGGCAAGCGTGCAGCTCGGCTGAATGCGGATCCTGATTGGATCCGCAAGTATGTGCATTGGACACTCTTTCTTGCCATGTCGGCACTTGCTTCCGCATCTGGGTTGGGGCGCAGAGTTGTTAGATGAACGAAGCTGCAAGCCCAACCCAAAGACTGCAAAATCCCTTGGACCTTTAGGGTAGGGATATGGGAGGTGTTGGGACCTTCCGTGGAACGAAGGTGCACAGACGAGTCTGTGCACGACATTGCGAGCCCCAGGAATGTAGACATCGGTTGAACGCCTCGCCTTGTCGCGCGAGGCAGGCAACAAGCGCAAAGCGGAGGAGACGGCCGAAGCGCTGCTTCACCGCACTCAGTTTTTGTTTGGGCTTGCGGCTTGTGCCGGTTTCAGGAAACACTCGGAGAATGTCTTCATGTCGCCTCGTGCATGGCAATGGCGTCGCAAGAAGTCCTAGGTCATAGTTTACATCATAGTATATTACATGATGTTGTGTCAAAAAGGTAATAACATCATATTAGTAGCCCTTGTGTGGCCTGGAAGTTCTTCGCCCTGCAACGTTCAGGCGTTGTCGCCCAGCAGGCAAGAGAAGCTGAGAACCGACTGTCTTCGCCAAGGCCCGATGAGGCGAAGAAGCAGAAAACGGCCTCCGAGGGAGCACAGGTCCCCGTTCTGAAAGAACTCAGGCCCGGGCTTCAAGAGGACCTAGTTGTATACTGGAGCGGAGTTTCGTTTCGGGTCTGCGAGGTAGACCATCGATGGGGATTGAGAATGAAGCATGTGAAGCTTGCTGATGGGATAGGTTCTAGCTTTGCGGGTGCCTGTCTGAGCGGCTCATATTGCGCTAGAAGTCACAAGCCCCCGTGCCAGCGGAATTTCGGTTTCCTTGTGCCTCCGAGCCTGTGAAGCCAGGGAACGCATCGACAGAAAAAAGCGCAGCTTCGACGGCACAACCTTGGAGAAGAGCGCCCCGCTCATACAGCGGCACCCTCGAAGTTGGCATCCAACAGCAGTAGTCATGGTACGGTGCACAAGCTCGTAACTAGAAAAGGGTGTCGTCATTGAGATGATATTGATGGCTCCATCGGTCGCTGTGGTAGAGGTAGTCAAAGTCGAAATTCGTGGTCGTCATAGCAGTAGCAGTAGCAGTAGCAGTAGCAGTAGCAGTAGTAGTAGTAGTAGTCGTCGTCGTCGTCGTCGTAGTAGTCGTGGTGGTGGTGAGTAGTCGTGGTGGTGGTGGTGGTGGTGGTGGTGCGAGTACCAGAACTGGTACTACTGCTGCCACTACTGCTGCCAGCACTGCTGTGTTACTGCCACTGTTACTACGAAGAAGACGACGACGACTACTACTACAACTACTACTACTACTACTACTGCTACTGCTACTGCTACTGCTACTGCTACTGCAACTGCTGCTTCTGCTGCTGCTACTACTACTACTACTGCTGCTGCTACTACTACTACTACTGCTGCTACTACTGCTACTACTTCTACCACCACTAC